TCTCTCTCTCTCTCTCTCTCTCTCTCTCTCTCTCTCTCTCTCTCTCTCTCTCTCTCTCTCTCTCTCTCTCTCTCTCTCTCTCTCTGTGTGTATACCAGGTACTGACCTGCGAAAAGGTGTCGCCTTGATGCAGGTACGGACGCACTGAAGACAAGGCTGGAGCGATGGCGTCGCAGGTAAGTCGTCAGATGAGTGCCCTGGTCTCCACCATAACCGGCAACTCTCCCTAACCTCCACTGCCATCGAGTGCAGCGCTAGCTCGTGGACTGGAATCCTAACGCAGCGCCCAGCGCTGGAAGACTACAGCCTACCTATCGTCGACTACAGTACTACCTCAACCAATGCCTGTGCGAATCCTACTGAATACTGGGCAGTCCAGCTATAAATAGCGCTGGACTGCCTGGAGGTGGGCCGTCCCCAAGCCAGGGGCCTACATCAGTCTGGCGTCAAAACATGAACCAGTGGCGCCAACGGTCCTGGCCCCTAAACTGCTGCAGACCCGAAACAGGGTCTGCGCGAACTGGGCCTAACTGGGCCTGGCGCTAAACTGGCCCAAGGCCTGGTGCTAACCAAAACGACGCGCCAGGGCCTACTGCTACTCGGCCTAAACGGACCTACCGCCCTGCTACCCCTACTCCTACCTGGTCGGGCCCAACAGGGCCCGTGTGGGAACAGAGAATGCCACATTCAGAGACTCCCACCCGGTACAAGGAATTTTCTATACCGTATGAGAAAGACCTTGACGTAGTAAGGGAGAACATTGGAAAGGCTCAACACCAGATGACGGAGCAAGCAAACAAACACCGAAGATCATAGCAATTTGCCGTAGGAGATTTTGGTTTGGGTCACGTCCAAAGAATTTGTTGAAAAGGAGGGAGTATCCCAGACGTTGCTACCTGTGTACCGAGGACCATGGCAGATCCTAGATGCCACTGGCGATGCAAATGGTCCATCCTACACAATTGAGATCCCACTGCGTTTGCACATTTACCCGGTCTTTCATGCATCTAATTTACTTCCCTGTGTCACCAATGATCAGTTCCCCTCACAAAGGTCTATTTTGTGATGACCCGTCCAAACATGGACTGAAACACACAGCTGATTTCTGAGTTTTGCCCATAGACTGAATGCCCTGCTGAGTTTCCCGCTTGCTACTAAGTCTGTGTGTGCACGCTTGCTGGACTGCATATCTGTCTGAGTGCTGGTTGGCTTGAGTGTGTGTGTGGCCGTGCCTGTCTGAGTGCTGATTGGCTTGAGTGTGTGTGTGGCCGTGCCTGTCTGAGTGTTGGTTGGCTTGAATGTGTGTGTGGCCCGCAAGGGCACGTGCTCGTTCATTGGGCCTCAGGGCCGGTACTTACCTGTGGCCGTAACATTGAGGGATTGCAGCAGGAAAAACACTCAAGTAGCGGGTAGGTCGGTACCGCACCCTGAAGGGGTAGATGTGCGGGTACTGGAGGCCGAGCAGAAGAAGACAAAAGTGGCATTTTTAGAGGCCCAGTAGTTGTAGGTTAGGTCTAGGCGGATACCAGCCCAACCAGTCTGGGTCTAGGGCCTGTACGGGCAATATCAGAGTCTGCAATGATGTTTCCCTCCGAAAGGGAGGAGGTACCGGTTGCTTGGAAGGCCGAGCGGCCTGGAAGTCACCGCCCGAAGAGGCAAGCAGGCCGCTATATCTCCCAGCCAGGCGAAGAGCCCGGCCTCTTTTTCGGTGTGCAAGTTTGGAGACACACTGGTTGGAGCACCAGTTGGAGCAGCGCTATCCAAGAGCAGCGCTGCTGGGGGGAGAAGAAGGACACGGAGGAGGAAGAAGGACAGGAAGGGGGAGGAGCGCCAGGGGTACCTGGCTATGGTGGCAGCCATCTTCATCACCTTGGTGGGCGCTGCAGCAGGGAGTCCCCAACTGCGGAGAGCAACTCAAAGAAGCTTCGAGGCAGGGTCGGGCATGGCCGCCTGAGATAGAGCAGCCATAGCTCCTTTGGGTTGTCCTTTGGGCATCTGGGCAAGGCCTAGTAGTCCGCCATTGCCCCAGCCTATGAGAGTGAATGGTGGGAGGGGCGGCCATGGCTATGGTGGACCTCAAGTGATACCTGCAGTAGAAGAGGAACTCAGACATTGATTCTGGATCAGCCATTCAACATTGTATTATTATTTCTTGTATGAATAAGAGAAGGGGGAGATAAGGAGGAGGAGATTGTTGGGCAAAGAAGAAGAGCTTTGTCATTTGTCTATGCTTGTTACGGACTTCGCCAGGGCTCGATCCCTGGTCTATCTTTTTGCTGTTTCGGCTGCATCCCGTTTTCGGCCTGGCACCCTTTTTCCAAACCCCT